TCATGTCCTGGCCTGAACTGACCAGGAATGAGGGCCAGATAAGAATAGGCCTCACGGGTATTTCCAAGGCTCTTACAACCTCGTGCTATTTCTGCCTGTGAGCGATAATCTGTTGACACTCCCGCAGAGCACGGGAGGTTGTCGCTGTCCCTTACATTATCGATTTAATACGTGTAAGATGATCCCCACGTTCTGGGAGGAAGGTTCTTTTGTGGCCTATTAGTGAGTGTCCTGGGTTTTCCCTCGGCCCCTCTGAGAGGTCCCAGGGAAGGGCCCTTTGCAGATCACAGTGCACGTAGGAGGGGAGGTGCCCTTGTCACACCGTCTGCACAGAAGCCGCCCTCAGCTTCCATAGAGGAGCACTTTTGTAGATATTTGCAGAACGCCGCCAAAGATTGGGGGCTCGTTTCCGTTTTGGTGGACGGCGATCCAAGTCCAGAAAGGAGCTGATTGACTCATATAACTGAAAAGTCTGAGGGCAGGGCAGCCTTCAGGAACAGCTGGCTCCAGGTGTTTGCAGGCTCTCGGCATCGGCCCTCGTCCACGTGTAGGCCCCACTTCCCTGTCTTGGCTGCGTCTTCAGGCAGGGTCTCTGAAGGAGTGGCCGGATGGGCTTCACGGCCCTCCAGCCTTCATCCTAATAGCGTAGCAACCCAGGAAAGAGAGAGCCTCTTTCCTGATAACTTTAGCAAAACCCCCCAAGACCCCCAGACAAACCAAAGAACTGACAGGTACAACAAGCTTGCTTGCCTGCGTTGGGTCACATGGCATGTCCGAACCATGGGCGGGGACTGAGGGTCCAGACTCAGTGGTTGGGCCTGGGCCGTGCACCTGGGCCAGGTGAGCTCAGCCCCTCAGGAATCCCTTGCACCGAGAGCGAGGGAGAGGAACCTGGAGTTGTGAGTCACTGAGGGGGATGGATGCTGCCCAGTTCCCCTGCTGCTTTCTTTGGACTCATCTCAGGGTGCCTCCACCGGCTCCCAGGACTGAAGTGCCCCTGGGATCCGCCCTGCGGGCTCCTGGCTCCTGTGTGCTCTGTAACTGCTGGGGCAGGTGGTGTTCTGTCCTGCAGATAAGACGCTCCCACAGCTTGGACCCTGGTCCCTGCATTCACCTTTGTGGACTCTGTTTCCTCATCTGCAGAGTGGGGGTGGGGAATGGGGCTTAGGAGTGTGGCCAGTGTTCTTTCTGGTCCCTGAGTTCTGTGGTCTCAGCTCTTTCCTTGGGGGAGGAGGCAGGGGACACAGAGATCAGCCTGGAGGGGAGGGGAGGGGAGGGGAGGGGTGGGGTGGGAAAAGGAGGCCCTGGGCTGTCCCCTACCGTCTGCCTGCCACTGCGGTTGACTTTCAGGAAGCCTCCAGCCCTGGCTGGCTGGGCCCCTTGGGTGGGGCAGGGCTACCCGCAGGCAGGGCTGTCCCCACCTCCTCCAGGCTGGGCCCCGAGCAGCACAAGGGGGAGGATTGTTCCCACCGAGGTGCCTGGGCCAGAAAACACAAGCGGCCACTGTGTGTGCTCTCGAGGGTGTGGGCTGAGGCGTTCGTCACTGCTGGCCCGCAGTGAGGGCTGGGTGCGAGCTCCCCCATCCTTCCCTGGACCCCAGCCCTGCCTCCGCCGGTGGGAGAGACGGACGTCAGAGGGCACAGACAGCACTTGTTCTTTATGCCTGTCCCCTCCCACAGGCGCCCTGCCCACTGGGACCACCCTTAGCTTCCCCAGACCCACCCAGTCTCCACGATGCCCTCACATCAGACCACAGAGGCCCAGGGCATCACTGCCCCACCCTGTGCAGAGAGGGAAACCGAGGCCCAGAGAGGACAAAGCAGTCAGGAACATGGGCTTCACAGCCACACCGGCCTGAATTCAGCTCCCAGCCCTGTGTGACCTCGGGCAGGTGACTTGACCTCTCTGGGCATCAGTTTTCTCACAGGTTAGCTCTTAATAGTACCTCCTTGGTGTGGAAACGAATGGAAGGGCTCAGTGTCCTCCCTAGGCTCCGTGCTTCAGTTCTAGGCTCAGCTAGCTTCATTCCCAGGCCCCCCTGGGGCCGGGCTGGCCCAGCAGCAGGCCATCTCAGCAATGGTTCCAGGTTGCGGTTCATTGGCTGACTCGATCACCTCCCCAGCCCTGAGCCAGTCCCTGTGTGCTGATTGGCTGAGTCAGCCACCCACTTCCCGAGATAGGGGCGGAATTCCCTCTTGCCTCCATTGCATCTGGGGCCTGGGAATGTGGGCGGGTTAGCTCTGCTGCAGAAAAATCCGGGAAGTGTGAGTCCTGCGATGGGAGGGCCATGACTCTGACCCACAGGCCTGCGTCAGGCAGACACTGCCTTGTTCACTAGCAAAGCGCCTCACACTAGCGCGGGCTCAGGAAATAATGGCTGAGAGAAGGAATAGGGAACGAGTGAGCGCGGCAGCCTGGTGCAGAGGGCACACGGGGTGGGGGTGGGGGTGGCGGTGGGGGCTCTGCATCAGGTCCATCCTGGGCGGGCCCGGTACCCCTCTGAGCCTCGGCCAGATGGCTCGCACCTGCCCTAATGGCCTGTGGGCAGCTGCGTCCTGGCAGCGTGGTGGTCCCCAGCTGCCAACTTGCTATTGGCCGTGGTTGTCATTTATCTTTAGCAAACGGAGCCGGAGCGGGAACTGGGCTCTCGCCAAGCAGGGCCTGTTGGGAAGTGATTCAGAGCTCAGGCAGCCTGTGTTTGGACCCAGCCGTCACCTCCCACTGGCTGTGTGACCTCAGGCAAATCTCTGTGCGTCTCTGAGTCACAGCTGCCCACCTGTCCGTTGGGAATGCTGGTGTTTGTCTCCGAGCGCTGGCCGAGGAGGCGAGAGAGTCCGAGTCAGGCCGGCCCTGGCGCCCGGTGAGAGCGCACGGAGGTCGCTGTTTTCACCGTCGGCCTCGGTTCTGGCCTTGGTGGCCTCGGGTGATGGATCGCGGCCTCAGCCAGGCTGTAAAAGACGTTCATTTTGGCCCAGTCGCTGTGTGCCATGGCTGCTGCTCACCCTTCTTGGCAGGCGCCGGCCGCTGGAGTCCGAGCCAGGTGCTGGGCAGCGCGGTCCGCCTGTGTGGACACGGCAGCCCTGCCGGCCCTGTGGCCAGTGCTGCCTTTCGGGGTGGCGGGTGGGCGGGTTTTGTGCCATCCTGGAAAACGGACCCTGCCTGGGCCTCCCCCACCCCCAGGAGAACACGTCCCTTGTAAGGAAACCCAGAGAAAGGTGGCAGGCGGCGTCCCCCTCCCGCCAGCCCTCGGGAGTGAAAGGCGATGGGCGGCCTTTGCCCAGCTCAGCCCCGTGCCGTCCTCTGGGCCCCCGCGAGCCCTCCGCCTTCCTCTCTGAGAAGGAGCCGTGGCTGACGCTCTCCTGGGTCCGGAGAGGACTTTGAACGTTGTGGAGGGATGTTTCTATGGTGCTCTGGAGCAGCGGTTCTCAACCTGTGGGTCGCGACCCCTTTGGGGGTCGAACGACCCTTTCACAGCGGTCGCCTAAGACCATTGGAAAACACATATATAATTACATATTGTTTTTGTGATTAATTACTATGCTTTAATGATGTTCAATTTGTAACAATGAAATCGGGGGGCACCACAACATGAGGACCTGTATTGAAGGGTCGCAGCATTAGGAAGGAGAAAATCAGAAAGAGATGGAAGGGCGGGTACATAATCAATTAAGGGAGAGAGATGGGGGGAATCTAACTGCTTAATTGATGGGGGTTTAAGGTGTTCTGAACAAGTTTTCAAAATCTGAATTAGGGGCGAGGACGCCACCCAGGTAGGGCCGAGCGAGCAGGGGGGTGAATGTAGGACTGAGCCCGGGGAATGGCCCCACATGAAATGCTGATCCCTGAGCTGGGCGCCTGGCCAGGTGGGGCGGTCTCGTAGGCCCTGTGACGGAGGAACACGGTGGCTGCAGACTCAGGAGCAGGTCGGCCGGCAGGCCAGGCCCGGCTTTGTCACCAGGTGGCCGCCGCCTGTACACAAGGGAGGTACAGCACCCGCACCGTAGGGCTCTGAGGCGATAATGCATGAGCCCGTGTGGCAGTGTAGACCGAGGCCCACGCACAGTGGGTCCGTGATAAATGTGGATTTTGCAGCTCAGTGAACAGAAACACGTACCTAAATGGAGAATAAATTTACAGACGAGTGTAAGATTTGCCTATTGGCACGACCCCCTTTGAGAAGGCTCCCTGGTGGGATTCAGCACCCCCCCACCCCCCGCAGTGCCCACTCCACCTCCAGAAGTGCGCTGTCTCCCTGCTGGCCGAGAGGGTGGGTCTCTCTCCAGCTGGCCCGGAGCCCTCATCCGGCAGGGAAAGTGCACAGCCACTTGGAAGGCAGAGGACCCAGATTCAAATTCTGATGCCACTACCTGGGTCCAGCCATGCCGCCTCTGCCTCGACTTGCCCGTCTGTGGAATGGGGACACTGTGGTGCTGGTTACTGTGGGGAGTATAGGAGGTGACGTGCATACCTGTTGTTGCCCTCGGGGAGCCAGGTGGGCAGGTGGGCGTTTCCAGTGGATGGGGCTGCACAGCGTTTGTCAGGCCAGAGAGAGCGAGAGCCCTCTGCCTCTCCCGCCGGGCTGCTCCCCCCAGCTCAGGCAGCACCGTCCCATGCACTGACATGCGTGTGAGCGTTGATGAAAGTGTCTTTTTTTCTTTGTATGAAAGTATCTGACCACATGAATCCAGTGGCTTGGCGTTTTTCCTGAACACTCGCCAGTCTTCCATGTTGGTATTTGCAGAGCGATGCCAAGCTGGTATTTTTATTGGTCTCATATGTGTTGGGCTTTTAAAATACGATATGATTAAGCTTAGAACGTTGTTTCTCACGCATGCCGTGAGCCCCGGCCATGGTCCAGGTCTGCGTCGCTCCCGCTACAGCCCTCAGTGCGCCCTGGGCACCCGGCCTCTGTTTCCACGCCACGCGGCCTCGGAGCCGGCGGCCAGGGGTCCCTTTCCGCCGGGCACGCCTCGCTCACCCTCTGTGTCTCTGCTCTGCAGGCCAAGAACAAGGAGACGGGTGCCCTGGCCGCCGCCAAAGTCATTGAGACCAAGAGCGAGGAGGAGCTGGAGGACTACATTGTGGAGATTGAGATCCTGGCCACCTGCGACCACCCCTACATCGTGAAGCTCCTGGGGGCCTACTACTACGACGGCATGCTGTGGGTAAGCCGCCGCCGCCCCTCGCCCCATGGCCCGGTCCTGAGGGCCTCAGCGTTTTTCAGCATCTGCCTGGAGGGCAAGGGCCAGGTGAAGGAGAAAGGGAAGTAGGGGGGCCTGGATCCCTGGCCCTCCCTTTCTGCACAGCCTCCCCACTTTTCAGGGTGGCGACAGTGGCTCAGAGCCAGAAGGAACTATAGCCCTGGCCGGTGTTGCCCAGTGGTTAGAGCGTTGCGCATCACCCCCCCCCCCCACCTGAAGGGTCTCAGGTTTGATTCTTGGTCAAAGGCATGTACCTGGGGTTGCAGATTGATCCCTGGCCCCGGTCAGGGTATGTGCAGGAGGCAGCTGGTTGATATGCCTCTCTCACATCAATGTTTCTCTCTCTCTCTCTCTCTCTCTCTCTCTCAAATCAATTTTTAAAAACGAGTCAACTGTGATATATATATGATCATCAGAAAAAAATGAGAGTATGTAGAAAAGCAAAAGAGAAGAAAAGGTTAATACCATCCACATTTTCATACTAGAGATAACCACCGATAATGCTTGGAATGTGTTTTGATTTTTTTTGTATATACACACTCCCATTTCCACAGTTTTGTTTTTTTTTTAAAAACAAATTTGTACCATACCTGTTACTTTTTTTTTACCTTTTACTTTTTATGTAAGCTGTATTAAGAAGACTTTCGTGTCAGTAGAGTAGGGAAATTCCTGCATCTCCGTGTTGTGTTCTGTAGAACCCATCTTCTGACTGCTGTTCTCTGCTGATGGGTATGTAGGCACTTCCTTGTTGTGGTTTGGGCTGTGAACAACTCTGATGGACGTCTCTGGGTTTCTGTGTTGTCGCCTGAGAACCTCTTTAGAAGGTTTTTGAAGATTTTAAGTGTCTGTCGCCAAGCCGGCCTCCCAGAGCCACGTTCGATAATAGACAGAGGTATTTTCCCATCCACTGACCTGTCCATCTGTCCTGCGGTCCATCCATACAGGCTTGCCGGGACTGAGGATCATGTACCCATTAAGGAAAACATCTTTTCTGTGTCCGTGCCCATTGCCGATTGTGGCTGGGCACCAAGTTCGCTGCGTTCTCAGGGCCAAACAAAGATAACATAAGAACGGCCGACGTGTATCGAGGGTGCACTGGGTGCGAGCCCTTGTGTGAGTCTCACTTGTGTTGTGTCATCTCTTGTGCGTGCTGTGGGGCTGTCCTCCGCATCCCACAGGAAAATGAGACACACAGAGGCTCAGGGCCTCCGGCCCCCAAGGCCGCGCTGCTGGGAAGGGGCAGAGCCGGAAACCCAGATGGAGAGAAAGCACATTTTGTCACGAGGCTGTGGCTGTCTGAGGTTGTCTAAGTAGATACAAGTCGTCACTTTAGGCGGGTGTTTGCTCATCCCGGGCTGCTGCTGTCGCCGCCCACCCGTTTCCTACCCTCCCGCCTTGTAGCCGCCCCACAGCCTACATTCTGCTGCTTTGTAAACCTTGAAAGGTGCCGCCTTCTCATTTTGGGGACGTGGGTTTCAGACATGAAATCGAGGAGGTGGCCCTAGAACTGGGTGGATCGACAGGGACAAAGGGTTTCAGGCAGAAAGGACAGCAGGGCAGTGGTGTGGAGGCGGGGAAGGATGAGATGTTTGGATGATGGGTGGGTTAGGGTTCGGCCGCACGTGGTGGAAGGCGAGGGCAGCGGAGTAATTGGAGGCTGTGTTGTGCAGGGCCGTCTATCTGTTCTCAGAGTGCAGCCGGGACCAGCAGCCCCACCTGGGGCCTTGGTAGAGATACCAAGTATCAGGCCCAGCCCAGCCAGCTGAGTCAGGCCCTCTGGGTGGGGCCCAGCTCCTGCTTGCCGTTCAGGGCACCTTCTCAGTGACTCTGGTGCTTAAGTTTGAGAGCTACTGTTTCAGGGATGGGGACCCAGTGGCAGTTTTCCCAGGGGAGAGACACGTACTGTGTGTTTTGGAAAGAAATCGCGCTGGAGGGCGTAAGAGTAAAAGCATTGAGACTGATGAGGAAGTGGTAAGAATGGACGCGGCCAGAAGCCCAGGGGTGTGGGACCGTCAGTGGGTCAGGAAAGCCCTCAGCGGAAGGGTCATTTGAACTGGATCTTGAAGGATGCATAGGAGTTCTCCCGAGGGAGAAGGGAAGGAAGAGAAGGCTAAGGAGAGGGACAGACTGTGGCCCTAGCGTCCTGGGCCCCCTCCCCTCCCCAGCCATGGCATCCAGGACAGACTTTCCCCCTTGATGGGCGGGGCTCACTCACCGCCCCAAGGATTAACTCATTTTCTTCCAGGATTTGTAATCTTAGCAGAATCCTTCCAGTGGTCTCTTGGGACCACTTCTGCTTTGGAATATCAAATGGTACAAGGGCTGGGGGCGGGGGGGGGCCCAAATTATTCTAGACCAGTGTCACCCCGTAGAAAGATAATGTGAGCCACATATGTAATTATACATTTTCTAATGGCCACCTTAAAAAGAGCAAAACTAAACAGATGAAATTAATTTCAGTAATATAATTTACTTAACCCAGTACACAAAAATGTCATTGGCATGTAAAAATTATTAACAAAATAATTTACTTTTTAAAAATTTTTTATTCTAAATCTTCAAATCCAGTGTGTATTTTACACTAACAGCACATCTCAATGCAGGAGCTAAATTTCCATCAGAAATCTTTGTTTATTCATTCATCCATTCCTCACCCAAGGACATGCTTAGAGAGAGAAACGGGGAGGGGGAGAGAGAGAAACATCCAGTGAGAGAGAAACATCAATCGGTTGCCTCCCATTTGTGCCCTGAGCAGGAATCAAACCTGCAACCCAGGCATGTGCCCTGCCCAAGAATCTAACTGGCAACCTTTTGGTGCACAAGATGACGTTCAACCAACTGAGCCACTCCGGCCAGGCAGAAATCTATATTTAGATGCCATAAAATTTACAGTGGTCATAAAATTGATCTATAATTAGATGTCATAAAATTTATAGTTGACAAAAGAGATTCATATCCCCGGTGGTTCCAACATTCTTAAATGTTTCCCAGTAACAGAATCTTGTGTCAGGTTTCCAATAAGTTAATTAAAAGTGAATAAGATGATCAATTTTCAGCACTGGCCCATTTCATGGGCTCAGTAGCCCCAGGTGGTTTGTGGCTGCTGTACGGGCAGTGCGGGCAGTGCAGCTGGGGATGCGCACCCAGGCCCGGAAAGGGAGCGAGTGCTGAAACCCTGGGCCGACATCGCCCATCTGCCCCCAGCACCCCCAGCACCCAGCCCCGAGCCCGACTCCGGTCTCTCGGAAAGTCTGGCAAGGGCTGGTGCCTTGTGCTACATGTATTGTGGGAGTGAGAGAGAGTGGCATGTATGGTACATGTTTCACAGTCCACCCTCTGTGAACAGCCCTGGTTTATAGCATCTGCCAGTTTCTGAGATGTAGGTATCCCCACCACTGTCAATTTCAGGCTACAGAGGCATGTCACTCACAGAGTGGGGAGGGGTACCCTCCTTGATGGCCTGTTTCAGAGACGGTAGATGTAAATCACTCCAGCAGTATAGGTGACAGGAGACTGCCGTAAATCATTAGGAAAGCAATGTGGGTTTGAGTATTTTATCATCTTTGTATTTAATACTACAGGCCCAGTGCATGAAATTCTTGCATGGGTAGGGTCCCTAGGCCTGGCCGGCAATCAGGGCCGATCGGGGACTTCCGGCTGCTGGCGGGGGCCTCCCTTCCCCAGTTGCTGGCTGCTGGCTGGGGCCTTCCTTCATTCTGCGCCGCCCCCCGGTGGTCAGCGCATGTCATAGTGAGTGATCGAACTCCCAGTTTCCTGGTCGGACTCTGGAGGGGACACTTTGCATATTAGCCTTTTATATATATAGATGATTTTTAAAACTAAATTTAAGTTGTAATAATGGCTGTATTTAACAACTGGCTTACAGAAATCCCTGAAAATGTCACAGTTGGCTCTCATAGGCTGGCGACTGATGTCTCCGGGAGATCACGGAGCCAGACGAGAGGAATGGGGCTGGCCCAGAGGCTGCTGCTGGGTGTCACACAGCCAGCCCCTCATTTGCAAGATGAGCCAGCTGGTTCCAGAGAGGGTCTGGGGTTTACCCAAGGTCACACAGCAAATTCATCATAAGGCCAGAGGCACAGAGGTCCTCAGTGACCTTGGAGGACAGACCTACTCGTGTCCACCGCCCAAAGGACACCCTCCACAGCTTGCGCTGTTAAGGAAAGAACGTCCAAACCTACAGGAAGTTTTTATTTATTTCTCGATTAATCCTCACCCGAGGATGTGTTTTCCATTGACTTTTAGAGAGAGTAGGAGGGAGGGGGGCGGGGAGAGAGAGACAAACAGAAGCATCGATTAGTTGCCTGCTATACACGCCTGGATTGAACCTGAAACCCAGGTATGTGCCCTTGACCAGGAATTGAACCCAAGACCCTTCATGTGCGGGCTGATGCTCTACCACTGAGCCACACTGGCCAGTGCCCTACAGAACATTTTTAGGAGAATTTATCTGGGCCAGCCCAGGTTGAGGGCGCCGGAGCCACCAGGCCTTTTGCTCAATTTTTCCTCTTGCCCCCCTGCTCCCTGGTCTGTGCTCTCAAAGGGGACTCCATGCTGAGGTTGTGGACTCTGCAGTGAGGTTGGGGACTCCACACTGAGATTATCTAAAGCAGGGGCGGGGGACCTTTTTTCTGCCAAGGGCCATTTGGATATTTATGACACCATTCGAGGGCCATACAGAATTATCAACTTAAACATTAGCCGGCTATCGTTGGTCAAGCATTTCATTAACTCATGCCTTATGCCTTGGCAGGGCCAGACCGAATGATTTTGTGGGCCCTATATGGCCCGAGGGCCGGACGTTCCCCACCCCTGGAAGCCGCAGGGAAACTGGTGGAAAATTCACTGAGTCCGTTGCCAGAAAGAGCCATTTATGGCTTTGTTCATTTCTTAAGGGGCCAGTTTGGCTTCATACTGTATCTCGTGTGGGCAGTTTATTCCTG